ACGCTATGACATGGATGAACCTTGGCAACATTTTGCTGAATGAAATAAGCCAGTCATAAAAGGATGAACACTGTACAATTACATATATGCAGTACCTACACTAGTCAAATTTAGAGACAGAAAGGGGAACAGTGGTTGCCAGAGGCTGGGGGAGGGGTGGTCAGGAGCGAAGGTCCAGTGGGCTCAGAGTTTCAGTTTTGCAAGATAATAGATTTCTGTGGATGGTGGTGGTCATCATAGAGCAACAATGTGATGTGCTTAATACCACAGACTGTACACTTAAAAATGGGTAAGATGGTAACTTTTATATGTATTTTGCCATCATTTTTAAAAAGGTCATGTCCACTATAGAATTTTAGAAAAGATGAAGTTGGCCAAGTAGTTTCTAAAACCTTTTCCTCCTCTCACCCTGTGGGAACTTCCCTCCAAACATCTCCTAGCCAGATACTCCTGAAGGCACGCTGACTCCTCAATGCTCTGCTCTGGTTTGCTTTCCCTGTACTAGGCGGCTCTAGGAGCTTCCTGATTCTCTGCTCTGGTTGGAAGCCTGGCCAGAACCCTCCTCAGTGCCATGCTTTAGGTTAGGGGAGTCTATTAAGTCAGTCGTCCCAGAAGCTGTTGATGTACATGTTGTACCCAGGAAAGGTGTTTTGAAAAGGGGGCCTCTGGCAAATGTTTTTAACCCAAATGTGAATCAATTCAGCAGCTTTCATTGGATAGTTCTCTCTTGGATTTCCATATAGAGCTGGGTGTGACTGTGATCCCTCGGTCAAATAATCAGCTATGGGCCCTTTTACCACTTTTCTGCAAAACTAGCACTGTCACTGCACTGGGGCCATTTGTCCCAGAGGCACACAGGATGTTACTCAGATGGCATTTATGCCCATAGGGAGAGAAGAGAGTTACAGTTAACTCCATGGCTTGCAATCTCACATGCTCTTAATTACACTTTTCCACAGATCACAGCTTTGAAAGTTTTGAGCAATGTTACTAACTGCAATAGATGGACAGCCAGATACAGTGCAATGAGAATAACCTGTAGTCTCGATAGTTGGCCTGACAGACCTAAATTCCAATTCTGCCCCTACCACCCATAAGCCATATGACCTTGGGAGGTCACTTAAGGTCATCTGAACTACACAGTAGGATGAGTAAAACTAACTTCCAGGAATGTAACCATTAAACAAGGTAACATGCAGTACATTCCTGGCTCATTATGTCTCTGCATATGTTAGTTTCCTTCCTCTTTGTCCTCCTGGTATACTCACTTTACAGCGGACTCCAAAGCATGGATGAAATCGAGGCCTGACCGCCTCCTGTAGATCCCCATTCTTCACCTTGCTCAGTAGTACAGCAGACACTGCTGAGGTCAGACTAGTAAAACCACAGAAACAGTAATGAAGGCTTCATGAAGATAGAAGGAAGTGCATGAAGGAACATCCCCACTGCACAGACAAAAGGAAAATGTTCCCTTTTCTTCTCTAAAATCTGCTCTTGAGCCAAACATGGCAATAACATATACTGCCAAAAGTGGTCACAGTACCACCAAAAGTGGAAATGCACTGATTATTTATAAAACTCTAAATGGCAAGTTTAAAACATGATGCATTACACTACTTCTTTTAGAGCCCTCTCTAGTGTCTCCCCACCCCCACCCCCTGCTGTTCCCATAACTGATGTAAAAGTAATTTCATAAGCCAATAGGATGATTTTATGGGTGTGTTTTTATTATTATTTTTAATTTCTTCTCACATATGTTACTGCTCACTCTCATTAAATAGTTTGTTCCATGACAATATATATTTTAATAAAAGCCATATTTTTTTTCAGAATACGTGAATCTAAGAGTAAGTGATTGGTTCACCTGTCATTCTGTTGTAGCGCTCCTTCTCTAAACGATTTTCTCTGTTTGGCAAATAAATTAGAAATGTCATGTTTGTTTTCAAGCAGTTGTAAGTTGGTGATGACTTGTACAAAAGTCCCTGATGAAAAGTTAGTAGAGGCATTTGAACTTCTTCAGGGTTGTAAGTCCAGATATATATAGTATCACTTTTTATCTTTACTGGAAATTGGAGGAAAGCAGAATGTTAATTCACCTGTTGGCCACAAACAATTTTCCCTGATGTACCCTGTACATATGCATTCTGCATGACTATCATCTTTCCCAGCTTCCAGTCATGCAGTCTCAAGATTGCAGAAATGGTAAATGTTTTTTGGAACAATTTTGGAACCAATTGACATGATGAAATTATTTAGAATTTTATTGACTTTCAGGTTAATTATGATATAATATTATAACAGTTACTATGCGACAAGGTGTTTGACAAAGGAGCAGGATGAAGTCCCTGCACATTCACCCTCCCACCGGACAACTCTACTTCAGGCCCACCACTTCCAAATGAACACTTCCAAACCCTGGACTCCACTGTTTCCTCCAATAAGCACCACTAACAGCAATTAAAACAGCAGCCAGAATCTTTTCTCCTTCTTCTGTGCATCTGATCTCTCTGAACTGCATTATATCTACCAAGCTTCCCGAAGGAGACACCTAGAGGTGAAGCTGGATGGAAAAGCAGCAACTGCGAATCTGAATTACTGTTGGCATCTTACTCTTTTTGAATATGTGTACCTCTCTCCACTTGCATGGACATCACCTAGTTCAGGAGTCTGTCAATGACTCTGTGGGATCCCCTGCCAGCCTTAGATCCCTCTCTCTCCACCATGTGCCCAGAGGAACAGCTATCAAGTGCAAATCTGGACACACAAGTCCTCTGCTTACTAACCTTTTATTTGACACCTACTGATCCCACAGTAAAATCTAATCTCACTAACAGTATATTGAAATCCTCACCATCTTTATTTATTTTCCAGTCTCATTTCTTCCTATTCTCTCTCTTCAGTCTGCTCCAGAAACAAGAACTATTTGTAGGTGCCTGAGCATATACCATTTTACTTTTTCTCTCTTTCTTAAACTATTTTCCACTTTGTCGGGATGCTTCCTATCCCCCTTTCCCTGGCCTTCTCCACCTTGTCCTTGGAGTTCCAGCTTGGGAATCATGTTCCCCAGGCATCTTCCCTTTGAGGGCTAGTCAGGTGCCTCCTTATGCTGTACCCCTTGGCAGCCCTATCTTCACACTCAGCCCTACAGAACGGCTCAAGGGCCTGAGGGTGAGGGTCACCATGAGTTCAGGGCAGCCCCACTCCCCGAGGATGCTGAGGTACCTGGGGGCTCTTCCACCTCCTCTGACACACACTCATTCAGTTCTGGGTATTTTCACTGAAGGTCCCTCCCAGAGAACCGGACTGACGTCCTCACTGCAGCTCCTGGGCACAAAAATCTAAGATTTTATGACTATGAAGGATGAAACTGAGCCTGTTAGCCCCAGAGACATCATCCCCACAGGCCCCGATCAAAAGTATTTCCTGGGAGGGAAAATAATATTCTGGCTTGTGAAGAGATACCCGCTGTGACAGAGATCCCTTAGCATATTATGTTTGGATATTTTTCAAATTGTGTGCTAACACAGTCCCAGAAGTTTCTCGGATGAGGCACAGGCATTCAAAGTCATGACTTGGAAGAGTTTTCCCCTCGATGCTCTTAGGAGCATTTTGTTGACCACAGTACATCCCCAGAATTGATTTTGGTCCAGTCAGATTTTAGGGGGTCTGTGAGTAGTGACCTATAAATGACAGTACATGTACTCTTATACCACTACATCCAAAAACTGATCTTTAAAAAAAAATTCCAACCACACACAGACATTAAATAATGGTTACCTTTTGCTAGTTAAGGGAAATCATTCATTTCTTTCTTTTTCTTTTCATTTCTGGGACTCAGAAGCATGAACTACAGGCTTTGAAAATAGATTTTATTTTCACATGGTATTTTGTGGCTTTGAATAATTTATATCGACTAAATCTACTGATGTCGCATACTATTTTTTAAATTAAAGAATAAAAGGGGGTAGAGGAAGCAATCGTTGGTTCATTGCAAACTTTTTTTCCCCAGATCATTCTTAGCTCACATTTATCTTCTTTTCCAGTATATCTTTGCTTATGGCCATCTGTGCTCTGTGTTTGCATGAATTATTAGGCCAGCAAACACTCCAGTTAAACTATAAAAAGTTATATTGGTTCTGATCCAAACTTACCTGAATGCTTTCTTCCTTTTTTTAAAAAATATCTAACTCTATACTATTTTAAATTTCTTTAATTCCTGACCATGGTCATACAAGTGTTTTCCTATAGTTTATGCATTCATTCAATAAATATTTTTTGAGTGCCCAGTATAGGTCAGACACTTTCCTAGGTACTCGTTATACAGCAGTGAACAAAATGAAACAAAAATCCTTGCTTTCACAGAGCAGATATTCAGTGGGTGGTTCATCCAATACAAAAGATTAATAAAGTATTTAACATGTTGAATAATGATATCTTTGGGGATTAAGTATTATGTCACAGTAAAGTAGAGAATGAGAGAAGTGTTGGGGGAGTGTATGCATTTTAGAACCAGGGACCTATTCATTAATTTGGAGGCTTTTGTTCTAGAAAGTTGTGAATGAAGCTGGTCTAAAATTTCCCTTTGGCCTGCATTTGAACAAGAGATTTGCAAATAAATGAATACTATACGTAAGAGAATAAGGAGCTGTTAAATCTATTTCCCAAAAACACAATTTTATCACTCTTGGAAGTTACTTACAAACCATGTTCCCATTTGTCTAAATATTCTAAAAGGTGTTACTTTATCATTATTGAACTGTGCCTACATTATGCTTTATACATATATATATATCTATACCTATATGTAGAAAACTCCAACTCCTACCTTTTCAGCCCACCAGCCCACTTTTAGTGTTAGCGCCATCTTACTGTATAATATCTCAGCTTGTGTCGACTGCAAATTAGGAAGTTCAAACACAAACAAGGGAAGGGAAGAATTCATCAGGAAATCTAAATACAAACTTCACATAATTTAGAATTGAGCTAGATACACAACAAAATTCTATAATGGGGGAGGGTGAAGAAAATGAAAACATTTCCAAAGGTATTTATTGAGAAATAGTAAAGATGTACATATTTTTACAAGCTTTTAATATTAATTTACATTTCTTTAAATTATGTAGGCCCCAATAATCTATACTTTACTAATACATAATAGAAACCCTTTACTTTGTGAGACTTCCATAATGATACCATAGTTGGGAGTCAAAATGCAACTTTGGCTCATGATGCTTAAGTTTGTTTTTAAAACAAATACTAAATGCCATACTCACTGAGAATATAGGCTTGTCTCAAACAAATGTGCTTTGAGAGAGAAAAAATTTCATACTGGAGCATGCTGTTGATACTATTCTGAATCTTAGCTCAGCAGAGACTAGGGAAAAACATTTTGAGAGAGTTGTTATCTACTTTTTATGGCCGAACTGCATGATTTGAAAATACGCGTTTGCCTCTCAATTTGATTTACAAATTTTTGCATGGTTAATAGTGATGTAAGCGTGCATGCTATGATATTGTAGCCCGGCCACCCATTTTGATGATTTTCAGGTGCAATGCAAGGTGCCTACCTTTCCTAGTGATATACCAACTTTGTACAGATGGCAGCCAGAACCCATTTCAGTGATGGAACATCTTTCAAATTCGTTTCTAATAAGGCACAACATTCTATATGTCAAAAGAATGTAGGACCTGCCAAAGGGGCTGTTTTTTTGTTGGTTGGTTTTAGTTTTTTTAGATCGGAAAGGAAGAGGGTCTTCTGTTCCTATGGTGGGAAGAGAAGAATTCTAGTTTGAACTCAAATCCAGATGACAAGCCTGTACCACTGTTGGGCCAAACAACATCTGCTGTCCTCTGTCAACCTGGCTTTTAGAGTTTATGCTGGCAGCCTCTTTCAAACACACAGAGGAGAAGACGTGTATGGGAAACAGTACTAGATGACAGGGCCCGTGACCCTCCTTTTTGCCCTTTGAAGAGCTGTTCCTTTCTGTACTTTCAGGGTTAGCAGCATAAGAAGCCTTGCTTGTTTGATAGGAAAAAGAATGAAAAATTTAGATGTAATGCCACAATTCTATCATTTAAGAAAACTGACTATACAGTAAAGGTAATTTTGTTTTATTCACAGTAATACATATTTAAGGTTTTAGTGTGCAAAATAGAATTAAGTATTCAAAATCAATGCAGCCCTTTTTAAAGATGCTATTTTCAAGCTAAAGGCCAATAGAAATTAAGATTTATTATTATTATTATTATTGTGATTATTATTATTATTAAAAATATTCCAACTCTAATCTGTCTGCAACAGTACTTGGGGCAGAGGTAGCCAAAAGCTACAAAATTTAAAGAAGAAGGTGTGTGTCATGAAATCAGAATCTTAAAATTTGCAAAATTGCATCTCAATCTCTTTTTTTCCCAATGTAAACCTGGCTTGGCATTCAGTAAAGAAGTACAGGTTTATAGCCTAGGAAATAAATATCTCTGTGGTGAATGTTGTGATCAGTATGCAAAGCACCTACTATATGGGAGCCACTGCAGTCTCAGATAATGAACTGTCATTGACCAGCCTCTGGTTAGGGGTCTGGACTAGCAGCCGGACTCCAGGGTCCACCTTATGACATTTTAAACACAGAACTGCAGGTGTAGACACCATGAAAATGCTACTAGATCTTGAAGTCTTAAATCCCCATGAGGGTAGTCATGTCATACAAAATGACAGGAGAACCTGCATCATGTTCTAACATGGGCTACACACCAAGAAAAAAAAAACATGCAAACACCACGATGGCAGGTTCTCCTTGCAATGAATGCAGCCCATTGTGCAGTGACAGTAGGGGCAGAAACCAAGGTACACTGGTCTCCAATGGAGAGAAACTGGATTGATGGGTTAAGACAGGAACCAGGTACAATTTCATTGTTGTAATTTCAGTAGTGCTGCCAAGATCTGGCTCGCTTGCTAACTTATTTTATGATATTCTAGGCAGGATTTTCATTTATTTGTTTCTTTCCTAAGAAGCCACCTGGGGCATTCACCTTCCACTACTGATGACATTTCATTTTTGTAATGGCCTTGGGATTAAATGCACTTAGTCTTATTTAAAGCCATGTTCACTCAATGTGAATTTTAAGCCACATTCATGACATATTGTAAAAAGGTTTGGGTGACATTTGCTTATGCTTTTTGTGAAAATATTTTCCTCTTTGCAACTTACACATATCGAAATGCCAAACTCAAAATAGCATAAGTTGTCATGAATATGGCCCATAGTTTTCTCCAGTAAAACTGTAGAAAGGGTATTCGAGACTTTAACACACATTTCACTTTCTAAGTAAAGGTCCCACAGTCTTTCCCAAACCTTCTGCTTATAGTTGGATGCACAAATAGTTGCCTCATACAATTCCTGGAATTATTAAGAACCCAAATAAAACACAAGCTTTCCTTTATTCTTACTGTTTTCTTATTGCAACAAATACTCAGTTTCTTGCTGACGCAGTAGTAAGCTTGGTAGCTTAAATTTTAAATTTGGTCATCTTAAGAATGATCACAAAGGTTTTTTTGTTTTTCATTATCTACAGAGATTTTAACCAAAGTTACGTTGTAACACACAAACGCCCTCTTGTCTTTAAGGCACAACACATCAGTATGAACATTCTGTTTGCCAAACTTAAAAAAGAAGACATTATTAGATTCCCATTTCCCCTCCCACTCCCCTTCCCAACAAATGAAAGAAAAATTGCATCCACTTTCAAAGTCAGCTGCTAATATAGTCACAGTAAATTATTTCCATCAATAATTTACACAAATTACAGGTCTAGATAGAATTGTCCTTATACAGTCTGAGTGCATTCCAATTCAGATTTTCTGGGCTAGGGAGGTTAAAGCCAGATTCAAACCTCAGGGCTGAGAGGGTCTCCCACTGTGAGGAATGTTGTTGACCGCCACCTTGTCAGACGGAGTGAGGGCTGGTGCTTTGCCAGGTAAAGAGTTCTTTGCCAAGACTAGTAATTCCAGTTGGGACTTATTTGGTGGGTACCAGCAACCTCCACAGATATATTTTTTTAAACCATTAAAGTGTGGTAAATATAAGACCATAGAGCTTCCTTTCTGTAGCACTAAAGTGTAATTCCATTCAGCAATCTGAATTCTTCCTTCTGGAATTTTCATTCCAAATATGATTTCATTCTTTAAGACAATTTATATGTGTAAAGCCAGAGGCATTGAATCACACATAAAAATTCAGTGTACTTGAAATATAAAAAAACGGATCTTCAGCTAGTGAATGCAGTTACAAATACTCTAATTCCAGTGCTTGATGTAGAGCCAAGAGGTCTGAGTGGCTTGATATTCTCCAAAAGGGCATGTTGTGCTGCGTGGTTAAGAAAGGGGGGAGGGGAGAGAGAAGAGGGAGGAATGGAGAAAGATCATAACTATTGTTTCAAGGACGCAGCAGTATACACAAGGATGCATACTTCACCCAAGTTCAAAGGGGGGAGTTTAAAGGAGGGACGATCATATTTGAAAGCTTGGTAGCATTAATATGGCACTGTCAAAAAAACAGAGAAATAGATCTGAACTGGATTTATTGGTAATAAAAGCAAATAGTGAGCTTTCTTAAGTAGTTTAATATTTATTGTGGAAAATATCATTATGAACATCAGCGTCAGGATGCTAATATTCCTAACATTACTAACATCAGCATCTGGGGTAAGCATCAAATACCATGGGTCTAATGGAAAGAAAGTTTTAATCGCTATATAACTCTTTAAGGCCCATCTCTCAGTTAAAAGTAAAATCGAAAAGTAACAGGCCCAAGGCTTTCCTAAGTCTAAGGCTTTTTGTCTTTTTCAGAGGAAGAGGGCAAATTCCTTCCTGTGTAAAAAATAATCTGAAGCTGGACTATATAAGGTAGGAAAAAATGTGGGGATGATCATATTTCTTACTTGTCAAGGGTAAGTAATAGCTTTAGTCAGCAGAGTTGACCTGATTTATTTCACTGGCGTGGGACTGAGAAAAAGCACCCCAGCATCCATTCTCAAAGGGGGTGATGTACCCCTCAGGGTTCTTGTAGGGAAACAATTCTTAGACATTACAATGGTCTGTGGATCTCCAAGGATATATCAGTATCGGCATATGCATGGTGTTAACATATCATGGAGGGGTATGATTATGAAAAAAACATGTAAAAACGCACCATTGTGGATCATAATGAAAAAGAAATTAAGGTGCTATAGCAATTAATAAAGCCAAAGTGTTATTTGTAAGTTTGGGCTGATGACATCTTAAATAATATATATGTATGGAGTATGTATTTATATATAATGGAAATACATATACATATGTAACATGGAGATACATTTTATTATAAAAATTAATCATTAAAATAATAATCAGTTTGTTATATAATTCTTTGATGTTCACTATGATGGCCACTAACCCCATGTGACCACTGAGTGATGAAAATGTAGCAAGTCCAATTCAAAATACATACTGAATTTCAAAGACTTAGAATGTAAAAAAAATAATAATGTAAACATCATATGAATAATTTTTATATTTATTAGGTGTTGAGTCAATGATATTTGGGGTATATTGGGTTAAAGTATATATTACTAAAATTAATTCCTCCTGTCTCTCTTTACTTTTGTAAAAATGTGGCTTCTAAAAGTTTAAAATTACAAATACATGTAACATAAAATTATATTACACATAGGGAAGTGTGGTTATACATTAGTATTCCTAAGCTTTGCCATTTCTTCCTAAATTTACAAAAAAAATGATGTTCTCAGGTCAAATTACAGTGTAGAAATTTGCCTAGAAGATTTTATTCAACCAGCTCAGATCTATTTGTAAGAATAAAACAGTACTTTATACCTCTGCACATGCGATTACAGCTACATCCAAAGAAAAGCATGCATCTGGCTACTAGAAAAACCAATCACCTATGTTTCAAAATAGAATTATAAGCCTTCACCATCACCAAACTGTACCTACATAAACAACCATTTGGAAATAGCATTCTAACCGACGTTCTTATCCACTTGGAGTCCTGCCTTTTCCTCCTGAAGTTTGAGGTGTGAAACAGGTGTACCTACTGGTACCTCTGGTCTGGTTTTCAAGCCATGGAGAACTGGGGTATAGACTTGGTAGGTTAAAAGACATGGAGCATGTTTGCTGCTATTGCTGTGTCCACTGCTCTTTGTTGTGTATAATTACGTTGCCAATATGAAAAATGGAAACAACATGGACGCAGGACATTGACAAACTCCAGGAGATGTTTTAACTTTGTACAACTTGGAGGACTTCAAGTAGCAGTCAGCAAACAAAGTTGCACTTCTTGAGGCTACATCCCTCACCTCATCTGGAAAGTCACTGGGGTCAGTATGCTGTCTTGGGTCACTGACATTGCTAACTGAGACCAGGGTGCTCTGTGAGAGGCAGAGCTTGCACCAACTCTCTTCATGTTATGGAAAAGCATGGGAATTTCAAGTATGGTTTCTAACACTTCACCAAAACTTCTAATGTGGAGGCTCTTCCTTCTCCATTTGGTCTGATTTTAACTGATGACAAACATAAATTATTTTCTCTATTTTTCTATGAACTTTTCTGGGAAATTGTTTATTGGAAAACAAATCAGGTAAACACCCCAGCACATGCAAGTATTTAGTGAAGGCTTTATTAGATGATGCTTTGCAATCTCTTCAGGATAATAAGCACAACATTCTTTCTCTGTAAAACACTAGAGGCTGATATGTCATTGTTTAAAAATACTACTTCATTGTTTTGTTTTATAAATTATATCACTTTTATCCTAGCTAGATGGTATTTTGCTATCACTGAGTTGAAGGAAGATTTAGATCTCAGTGTTGTGTTGACTGATGGTCTGGTGTCTGAGGCCAATCCTTATATCATTCTTCTTTTGATTTTGGACAGTTTTTAACTGTCTTGATTTCTTCTTCAGAAACATGGGCCAGCTGGAGGGGTTTATTTGAATACCTAAGGGCTATGGGATCTTCTGCTTATGTTCAAAGCTAGCTACTTGGCTTCAGTTAAGTATGGGCGGCTCAATAAAGCAGATGACACTCTTCTAGAAGATCTGAGGCACAGTACCTCTACATCTGTATGACAAGTTGGCACAAAAGGCCCTGAATAATAAGTGCCATCCCAATAGTGTTTATTAAATTCTCTAGCAGTTTTCTTCTTCAGCTATGGAATCTACCCTCAACATTTATTACCATGGGGCACACTTACTACTAGGCACTCATTGGGCACAGAGGATGGGTGAGGAAAAGGCTAAGAACTGAGCCATTCACATGATGGCCTATGGAGCTCATTAGGCTTCATTGGGCTAAATTTCATATGCTTAAAAATGCTTTTTCCTCCCATCTTTCTCACAGACCATTATATCTGTGTGGATTACACACACCCTCACATACACACATGTACATTTAAAATACAACTAAATTTTTCTACATTCCCCATCAAATGCAGGCACAAAATGCTAGACTCCAAATGGTTCATTTGAATGTAAGTATCAACCTTCTCATGCTATTACTGCTTTGTATCTATAAATTTAAATCATGTGTCAAGCTGCCATTGGGCAAAACTACAGGAATGCAAACAAGAAAGCTTGCATTAGAAGTATCACACCGACATTATTTGAGACAGGGTTACCTTTTTTGCTGCCTGCTCTTCTTCTACACCATCCCCAATTACAACATATACTACTTTTCTGCCAAACCTTTGCATTATTCGTTCAAAGCAACTTTCTTTTCCTGGAAGATAAACGAGATAAAGTTCAGAGTGAAGTTACCTGGTTAGCGGCATGCTCCTCATCTCGGCCATCTCCAATCACAACATAAGTTATGTTAGTGCCAAATCTGGACACTATACGCTCAAAACAGCTTTCCTTGCCTGAAAAACAATGCACTGCTTATTCCTCCAGCCATTGCATTCATTAACCTGAAGATTCATAAAGTGTTAAGTTAATTTCTCTTGAACATCAATCACTTAAACTAGCTTGCAATCTTGGGGTTTATTAAACCCTGAAATATCTCTGAATAATATCTTTGCTTGAGACAGATTACTTAAACAAATGTGTTTCACACTCTAAAAAAGTCAGTAGGGTTAAGCATTTGACCCACAGAAAATGTTAGTGTCTTTTACTCCATCAAAAGAATATCAGAACAACTTGACACTGGCAGCTATAAGTTTTTATTTAATTTACATGTATCAATTTTCTCTAGTTTATTTTAAGTAGTATAGATAAGACAGCTAAAAATATTACTGTGAAAAAGCGAAGGTTCACCTATAAGGAAAGAGAAAATACTAAGATGTGGATTTACCTTGATGAACAACTCCTTTTCTCAAGAGGCTGGAAGCTAGTCTGCCCGGATTAATTGTACTAAGGGTGCAGTGTGATTGGGCCACAGCCCTGGTGACACTAGTTTCCTTTAAATGAGCTGTGAGTATAATGCCATGGAATTTCTACATGTTCTTTGGTTTTTACATCATTGGCATTTTCTTTGAATTTCTTTTCAGAATGTTTATGCAGTAGGGCTACTTCGGCATTTTTTCTTAATCTGATAGCTCAGAACTCGAAAAATTACTAGCTTAAAGGGAAACATGAAAACGATTGTTTTTTGAAATTAAATATGAGGAATTTGGCTAATAAAAAGAAATACTGTTCTTACTGGAAAAAATATTTATGCTGGTATAAAATTATTTCATTGGTCAAAAAGCAAAATCAAGTTTCCTACCTTACTCCTTCTGGCATTACAAACATTTATGCAGAAAATGAATGGGATTGGTATCAGACTCTAAATAGTCGTGCTTATGACAATGTGGAATTTACTTTGTGAAAGCTTGGCTGTCTTTAACAGTACTCTTGAAACAGCTGCAACTGGGGGCTCTTTTTACCTGTGCCAATACCAGAACTCCACAAGGCCCAGGGAAGGTTATTTCTGGGAGGGGGTTTCAGGATTCTGAGCTCTTGTCAAGGTGCCAGGGCCGGAGTCTGTTGACCCTCAGGGCACACTGCACAACCCATCTGTTTCCCTTAGGCATTTCCTTAACAGACCAGCAGAATACACGGGCTGTTTTTGTTTAACTCTTTCAAGAGGGCAGAAATTGATGAAGTTTTCTTTTTGAAAGTTTATTGGAAGCCTTTGTCTGTGAAGAGCACTTCAAGTCAAAGATGGCTCCACAGATAGATATAATCCAAACATACAGGGCTGTAATTCTTTGATTGCTATTGGACATTGTTGGAAATGTGGATTTTCAGCCATTCATGTGTTATGAATAATGTTTTCTGATTCAGGAAATTCTTAATTTTTTTCTGGAATTAAGGACACTAGTTTACTCCATTTGACACTCCTCTATAATGCCAAAACAGTATGTTTACCTTAGATCTATATTATTACATGTGCAAGGATGCAATACTATATCCATACTTATTAGAATATTAAATACAATGGCTAGAGATGCTGTATACTATTTAGATAACATGTGCCATAACAAAACATAAATACATAAATAAATACGTACAATGGGTCAGAACTGTACAGGTACTCTGTCCAGAATTTCACTAGGCAAAGTTTTCATAAAATTTATACATTTACAATGAGGTGCAGGAGACATGGTTATTTGAGCTCTACTCAAATTTGCTTGAATCCTAATGGATAAAAGAGGGAATCGCGCAGAGACACACATTAAGAAAATACCCCAAACACAGATGTAAACACGTTGCACAGAGTTAGAAATGATGTTCTTACCTATTTTAGTTGCGCTGTAAATATTCTCAATGGGGAAAGCGCCTCCTAAACTATAGAGCAGAACCTTCGCAAGTGCTGGGATCAGTTGGGTGGTGGTTACCAAGACATTTACGCAGTTACTCCTAAGATAGGGAGGAAATAAGCACATTTGTTTTCTAATACTACATAACTTCTAATGGTAGAGATTTAAAGTTATCACTATGGTTTCTCGGTTCCTTAATAAATGGCTCTGGTAATCTAATCTTTCAATATCTGATGGCTTTTTATGAAGAGTTCCTACTACCTAGAAGCCACCATACAGGTGCTAGTAATACATCCCTGAAAGGGGAAAATGGGAAAAAATGGGCAGAAAGAAGTTATGGAAGAGTTATGTTTTTGCCCACCTATCCGGTCACCAGACAGGGAGAGAGACTAGGAAGTAAACACCTACAATATGAAATGTGTTCTATCATAAAGGTGTCCTCAGGTCCCTGTGGAACCTCAGAGAAGGAAACCTGCCTCAACGAGTAGCAATCATAGGAAGGTGATCAGAGGTGGGATGGCTTAGCTCTAAGTTTTACAAATATCCAGATCATTTTTTTTTTTAGGGTGACAGGACTCCATGTCCCAGGCAGTCAGCACCTGGGAAGGTAGTGGACACAGACAGAAATAAGATGATGGAATGGGTAAAAGGAATTTTGTATTTTGTGCAAGAGGAAGCCTAGAAAGTCCTAATCACAGGGCTGACAGGTGATGCATCCTGAAGAAGTAAAAATGGTGAGGATCCTTATTTAGTACAGAAAGGAGTGAATTCTTGATTCTCCTTCTCAATAACAACAAAGAGCTAACTGCATTTAATGGCCTCAGTTTTAATCCATCCACAAAGACCCTACCTACCCTTTGAGAGTGAGAATCCCCTGCTCTGCAATTTACAACTGTTTCTTTCATGGTAGTTTGGGGGATGATAAAGGAAACACCAGGAGGGGCATTGTGAGGCAGAGATCCAGAAAGACTGGTTTGTGGCCCTTTCTTTCGTATTATGGGAAAATTGAGCATATATAGCTGTGGATTTTTCTCTATTGGCTATTTTGTATCATGAGCCTTTAATATATATTTGTTAGGGCCCATAAAATGTTCTCTAGAGTTCTCTAGATTGATTTCCAGAAACCTGGTCTCAGTGGCAACTTAGAAGAGCAAGCTGAGTGTTAACTTCTCATGGGTATGTACGTACTTAGCTCCTCATACACTTACTATTATGTTTTATATTCTTTAGATATATCATGAGTAAGAAAAAACTATGATTTATTCAAAGACAATTGTAAAACCTGATAAAGTAATAAGAGCTCTGACTCCTAGGAGCTCATGATGAGGTTATCAACCTACATGGAATGAAGAAACAAAGACTTCCACAGGTAGAAGTTTAACAAGTATCATCAACGTAATCTTTAATTTTACTGAGAAGAATAAAAACCTAGAAAGTGGCTTACCTATTATCAGACATAAACTCTTCAAAAATGGCAGATTTTTAAAGCATAATACACAAACACATTACTATTCTGTGGTATTTGAAGTTCTACATAATATTTTCGAAACAAGATGCTATTCAGTGTCACATATAGATGAATGTTATAGAATGAAAACATAGTAGAATAAAAGAAAGCACAGGCTTTTAAAGTTTAAAGATATATTTTTAAATCTAGTTTTGCCACTTAACTGTGTGATATTTTGTTAGATCATTTTTTAAAAATTATACATATTTATAAATTATATATATATAAGAATTACAAAAATTGAATATATTTTATAAATTTCATACATATATATTTTTAAAATAAAGACAAATACAAAGAGGAAAATGAAAACCCAATTATTAGCCATCTAGAGATTGTAACTGCTCCCCCCATCTTGTGTATTTACTTTGAGAGTTTCTGTTTGTGTGTAGGTTTTTTCCTGGGAGTATCATACTGTAAATATTATTTTGGATTCTACTTCTTTCATTTTTTATATCATAAACCTATTCATTTATGTCATATTATCTGTTATTCCTCCCTCCCAACAAAACATAACGTGTGCAAGCTACTCTATCATGTGGCTGCACCATCATTTTTCAAGTTAAGCTTAGTCACCTAGATGGTTTCTGATTTCTTCATATTATAAACAATGCTACCTTACATATAAAATTTTCCTACACATCTGATTATGCCCTCTGACTATATACACAGAACAGGAACTAGAGTCAGAGGGTATAAACTTTGCTAAAGGCTGACATATCATTCAGAAATGTTTCATATAAGCATCTGTTTTTCTGATATTCTAGACATTTTGTGAAAATCACCAATATAGTAATGTATGTGGACAACTTAACACATTTCATAGTACTTAACTCTTCAGTGTGTAATGAGTTATTTTTCTCCTTCCTTTCATTGTTATACTTTTATTTTCTAAAATCACATATGCATGTAGTTGCTTTAAGGTCATGTGTTTAATAATAACATATGTACATTATGGATAACATACATAACCTATATAATAATGCAATAAACTCTGTTTTTTAACTATCTAGGAGATCTCTTTTAGAAATAATGACAGCTACTGACCTCCTCCCCAGAGAAAAGCACATTTCTACATTTTACACACAGTTCCAGGGGGTCAGTAGTCCTCACATCCAGCTTCCCTGACCTTCCATCTCTGTGTCACCAGTTAGAGACCACAAGGCAGCAAGTCCCATTTTAGAGCAGCTTTAATTGTTAGACAATTCTTCCTAACTTGGAGCCACAACTTCTCTTCCTAGAATTCCTACTCATCAGTTCTAATTCTCTCCTTAAAGACAGAGAGACAAATAAAATTTACTTTCAGCTTAACATCTCAAACAGTTGAAATCAGTAATTTTGTTCCATTCATGTCTCTTCTTTAGACTACACTTCTTGGGTCCTGTCTCCAGCTGTTCCTGAACTGTGGTTTCTGCAGCCTAAACCCCACTGGCCACTTTGCTGGACAAAAGAAGCTAAGCTTCAAATTCATCGCACACTCCGTTAGATATGGTGCCTGGAATTGAGCAAAGTGTTCTGTTCTGGCTTCCCCAGCCTGGCTCAGGAAATCACTGTCCTCTCCTCTCCCCGTTTAGACTTTCTCCTGTCAACCCAGTTGCTGGTCATGTCACACAGTTAGAAGCCGTGTAATGCAGGACTTGACATCCCCCCACTTACTCCCATGTTCTGAGTACTGGACTCGCCCTTTACCTTGCCATGGTTCTTCCATATCCTGAGTCAGTCCAAATATTATGTTTCTCTGAATTGTGTGTTGCCCACATGTTTGCTAAGCATGCTTTTATTTATTCATCTAACTCAGAAATAAAACTAAGGAATAAGATAGTGCAAAGAGTCAATCCCACCTTACTATTGCTTCCCAGATTTATATTATTTTATTAAGTAGCATTTATGGCACATGATGTTCAGCTAGTGATACATGCATTTATTTCTACTGTCTACAGTAACAAGTCAGTATTTCACTGTTTAGCTCAAACAACACAAAACTTAAAAGTTTTGCAGAAGCTTTCTCTTGCTTTTCTGATTGATATATAAAAGACTTAAATACATGTACTTTGTGCATAAACAGTGTTGTTTTACTCTTGCCTTCACATCATGTACTTTGCCACCAAGGGAGTACTGTCTGTTTTTTTTTTGGCAGGGGGGCATTAAAAGTCACGGGACCTTCCTGTGGGGATTATAGGGATTATCAGTGGTTATGAAGAGAAGGGTAGAGAGATGGAATCTCCTGGTTATTGAAAGCAGCAGCAACCCCCATCCTCCACCCCAAATACACACATACACCCTAAAAATTGAAAGTCACCGGACTCAGTGAAATGTTAGGTTCCTTCAAATTTTAAAATGGTCTAGGAATTGTAAAGATTTATATATGTTTACTATGAGAAGTATATCTTCAATTCCATAAGTATAGAAACTGCAACAGTGCCACTTACCTGGTACTAATAATTGATAAGGATTTCAGTGCATTTGTTAGCCAGGAGTCCGTCAGACCTTCGATCTCTGCCCGTAACTGCAGCCACGCATCCCTCTTGGCAGGGCCAAGGAGTCCTGCAACACCGAAAAGCAAGGCAGTGTCAAGAGAGGAACATGTTTCAGGACCATCTAGTTCAGTCTCCCTTCTGTGCAGTATAGATAATTTTTATTCCAGCCTATATCATAAATGGACAGAGACATGGAAATACATCAATTTTGATCCTTCATTTCACAAATAATTATCCATTTATTCATTCAACACACATTTCTTGAACAGATTCTAGATATTGGGTCCTGGGGTGTAACAGTGAAGTAAAAAAGGGAACCATAGTCGCTGCCCTCACTGAACCCAGCATCTGGCACAGCGGAAGCCAAGCGCCCATGGAGCTTCTACAACTCCTGTGCCTCGGTCCCACTCCATAGGATACATATGGAGAAGGAAGTTGGGGGTCTCCCAGCCTAGAGAGAAAAACTTCAAATATTTCGGCTGCCTAGGAAAATGTTTATTTCTTAATAATGAGAATCATTACCACTTTGAAACAGTAATAATGACATTATCTTACGCAGCTATCAGTGCTAACACTATCACAAATTCTTTGTAAAAAGAAGCTGAGAATTGTGTTTTGTAAAAAGAAGTTAAAGACTGTGTTTAAAATCCTAAAACACATGACAATAGTTATAGATAAAGGTTGAAAACTACACTGATGTTAAGAGAAGAAAAGAAGTAGGCATACTAATTTTTTACTTAAAAACCCTTGGCTTTTATTGGAAAAAAAGATCATGTAAATCCACTGAAAAACATTTCTTAGATCGTATTTCAGAATATTGGGAGCACATGTACAGATGGATAATTTTTTAAAATCAAAATTTATAGTTTCTAGTAACTTTCATTTGTCCTTATTTCAGTAGAGATGCTAACATATCACAGAAAGGGGCTCATAAGTCATTTTTTAAACTTCTTAAGCTATAAGATTAGGTCTAGCAATCTTGTTAATTTTTAAATAATTTTAGCAATACCCACCAAGTGGGAAGGGATGATTTGCCTGAATGATAAAAAATCAGATTTCCCAAAGGGATATTTATCTTGAAGTAAAACATATTACCCACAATTAATTTTAAATAGAATACCTATTAATTTGATTTTACAAAAGTGTCTTTATGGAGAGTGTTAGAGTGAATTAAGAAACCTGATCTTGCTGCCTAGAACCCTGCACAAGTCAGTAGCCTACAGGGACCCTTATCTCATTTGGAAATGAAGGTCTTCCATTTCTAGGCTCCCTTTTGGTTTTAACATTATTATTGTCTGCAGTTCTATATGTTTTTGTTCCCTTCTAGTTACTGAGTATCTACTGAGCATCTAGTGCCTCCGGGCTAGCTGGGTACTGGGGATACAAGGTGAACTGACACACATCCCACCCTCATGATATGTATGGGTGCGTATAAAACGTACACTAGAGATGAGAGTTTTGTTTACTGTATTTTATGACATATATGTGAATATACATGTACATAGGATGCACAAATATATTTAGCTGTCTCATTCAATTTTAGATGCTGGGTTATGATCCTCAATCATCTTTTTTTTTTAAAAAGAGAAACACAATGCCCTGAAAGAATAATCTTATGTGACCTCATATCTAGTCTTAGGTTCTTGTTGACCAAAAAATTAATATAATGATAGAAATCATCAAGGTTTATAATATCATGAAGCACACACAGGATCTTAGTTTTGATGTCACAGGTTGTGATATCACCTGTAACACATAAATGAGTGTAAAATTGTTTGGGCAATACCTACAGAGTATTTGAACTCTTAAAAGTCATGATACACACTATACATAGGGAAGATATGCTGTCAGATAACATACAGTTTTTAGAAAGGATGAACCAGATTTGTTGAATACTTGAATTGTTAAAAGAGACCTGTTGATCAAAAAGACTTGTCTTTGAAATAACATAAGCACTGTTATATTGATTTCTGATAAGATTCTGGAAAAAAAAAGATAGCTGACAACTAAGCTTCGATGACTGGAGCTGTTATCTTTAGATAGGTTGTCTTCCCACTGCCTTCCCTGGTTCCTCTGTCTGGTATTCACTGACAGCATCCCAGATGAAGGACAGTAAGCTACATGCTCTATTATAAACTGTGACCAAATATTTGAGCACAAAGAACTCCCATCCCTTTGACAAAGCTGCACATTTTATTTTGTGGTTACATCTTTTTCCTCACCACTCTAAGAAACGTGAAATTCTTACTCAGTGTAGTCCAGCATGACCTCTGGGTAATTTATTTTATAGTAGGATAGTCTCTAATATGGAACATGGAACTACAGTTCAAATTCTACCTCTAGGTACAGTACTTTTATTACATTTGAAAGGCCGCACATACCTCCAACATTGTTCTTGTAGGTGTTGTATAACTCTTTTACTCTTCTGTAACGAAAAGCCAACTTCCTCATCCAGTCAACCCCTCCTCTTACACCTGTTGGCAAACAAAGGTTTGCACTACTTGCAGCTGCATGGAAGCCATCAGTTGCAAAACTGTAGGTACTGCAACACCCAAAATACATTAAAAAGAAATAGAAGAAATAATTACATGTGCAAAACTCCATAGTTGAATTTCTGTAGGAAATCACATACTGAAAGGCATGGCTCACCTTAAGTCCTGCCCATTATCGTCAGAGGAAACATCGTCTATGTGAACCTGATCGCACTCCTGTGAAAACATTGAAGAAGTTAATTTGTTTTCCAAGGACGCTTTGTTAGCATGTTTGAAGGTTTCTCCCCAGCTTTCCATTTGATCAGACTATGGCCAGAAGATGGCAGCATTTATCCACGCGTCCCATCATCTTAGCTGGGAAACAGCCTCATTTCTACTCTTAAGATCTAAACCCAGAAGAGTGCCAGAAAAAGGGAACCAAAAACGTATGGCATGTGGGTTTCTTTAGAGCAATTTAAAAATGATTCTCATCTTGAAATTATTTATAAGAAATTCTCCTTTGAATCTTTAATAATAATCACTGATGTTCACTTTCAGCCATTTCTGCTGTGCATACTTTAGTATGGAGGCAAAGCTCACCTGAAGATACACAAAATTTGTTCAGTCCTTCCACCTCAAGTCATTACTACTGCTCATTATTTGTTAAGCAGAGACAGAGGGGCTTGGTGATTTTGGTGACCTGTGCGATTTCTATGATTTCCTGCTTTGTGCTGGGACAGAGACACCATGAAAGAACCGTGTTGATATTATTTTCCAAGTCCTGGTCTTTTAACACAGAAAAAAGCTAATAACCATAGAAGCTGCTGCTTTCTTTTTATCTCTTTGGTTCAAGTTTTTAAGTCTTTAAACAGAAAAGAATACTTCTAAGTAAAAGGGAAATAATGGAGATGTACCATCTTCAAGTGGTACAAACTCAGAGGAAAATAAACTTAAGGTTACTTAGACAGACACACTTGACCTGACTTATGTCAGTGTGCTCAGAACAAACGGTGACTCTTCTCGATAAGAATTCAATTCTTTTTTGCTGTTCTAAGAGTCCTAATCTGTCTTTAAATGGTCTGCACAGTTCCCGTGAAAGAGTATATAACAGAAGGTGGAATTTGGCTAGGGCATTCAAAACACCTAGTATTTATTAACCTCAGGGTAAATATGGTTGAGCCTTTAATGCCCTTCTTTCCCCAACAAATTATTTCAGTCATGCAGATTCTGACTGTATACACTGTGCTTTTTACTCAGTGTTAAAAATTATTAACTTTGAAAACAGTACTAAACAAGGGCTTTTTAGCTATTATTCATATACATTGGAGGACTTAGAAGTACCTGGTAGTAAAATATTTAGCATCTCTGTTCCAGCGTTTCACACTGAGTATATTAGATCCTATTACAGTTTGAGGATCAGCTAGTCGACTCAGGCTTCTTTTAAAATATAAATCTTGGTGACCAGCCCAAGCAATCCTATTTCAGTACACTAAGGAAACTAAAGGTTCAGGTTCATATGATTTACATAAATTATGGGTTTAGTAATTTCTGAATAAATCTTTACCTACATTCATAGGTAAGGAATGGCTCCAAAAAGTTCATCTGACTCGAAGCTCCCTGAGGGGTGTGTTTGGGTCACCCAGATAAACCCCCAACTTAAGGCACAATCTGGCACAGGGTAATTAATCATTCAACAATTAATTATCTGTTGACCAAATGACAGAAACCTAGGCAAATGATAGTTCTTTACAGAATTACCATGATCATTTACATTTTCTAACACAAAGTTATGGTGATATAATACTCTGGATGGGAAGGACTGTAGAAAGATAATTTATATTGAGAACAGAGGGGAGGGTGAGAGAATGGGGCAGGAACTGAGGCTGCAGGAGTCAGAACGGGGCAAGCATTTAGAAAGGGTCCTTCCCACTTTGAGTTTTCACTGAAAGAAGTACAGCCCAAAGGAGTATTATGCTTCCAGAAAGGTCTCAGGGAAAAGAATTACAAGCCACAGCAGTAGCCTAAAGGAAGTACTGATAGCAGTCCAAAGTAAAGGGAGGACCAGCAAGCAACAAAGTTGGAAATCAAGTTCTTTTCCCAAAATATGCAGGTAGGAAGATTGCTCTAGACAACAAAGGATTATTTCTTGTGTAGAGATGGTTACATTCTTGCCAAGTATGAACACTAAATTGAATCACTAGTGAAATCACATGAAGCTGCTCCTTCTGCTGAAGTTCTGAAATTTTTCACCATGTAAATAATTTCCATAATAAATTAATGATACCCCCTCAAAAAAGGGTGGGGGAAAATCCTTCTGAATTACCCTGGTAATTAGAAGTTACTGCTACATTTAATACACTGTCATCCTAATTTTCAGAGAAATGCCTCTGACATTTCAAGTATTAACTCACATGATTAATTTTTACATTTTGCCCCCCAATTTTTTTTTTCTCGAGCATCAGTATCTCGAACTTATAGGACCATGAGCTCCGTATTTGAAGTTATGTCTGAGGTTTTTCCAAAGGGAACTTCTCTCTAAATTTATGCTTAATTATTCTTGTTGAATCTGGACACTTGCCCAACGACTGCAGTCCAGTCAAAGAGGTTTGAATTTCAATCACTTACATTTTTAGAAAAATCTAAACAATTGTTTCTTCAGTTAGTTTTCACTGAAAGGAATATTACAAGAATCATTTTGACCAAAACTTGAAATATTAAACACAGTGCAATGCTTTGGCTTGAACAAATTTCAGCATGAGAACTCAAAGATTTGGAGTAATTCTGGTACCAATATTAAATTCTTTAATGTTGTCCTGTAAGGTGATGGCAAAGTTGTCACTGATCTTTATCAGTCAACATCCACAGCAGCGTTCTCTCACTTTGGTGAGCCTGAACTCCTGGTGTTATTCTTCTCTGGAAGTTATTCTAACTAAAATAACAGAGAGCATGCTCTTCTTAGAGGGAGTAGCCAGAGAGCATTTGCCTTCTCTGCAGTTGGGCAGGATGTAGTGAAGTAGCTATTAGGAGGACTTAAATTTGTATGGTTTAAGGAATTATAGGAGAGCAGCTGCTCCTACATATGTTGCAGTACCTACTGAAGGATTTGCGTCTCAGATTAGACTTTTAGGTTGAGAAGAGGAACACTGAGAGCTTAAATACACAAGAGAAAAAAAAGACATAATAGTCTAATGGTGGAGTGACTCTCTTGAGGAATTCCCTTTGACAGTAGGAACAGAAATAGCTTAATACCAGCTCTGAAGCTCATGGCAATCTCTGCTTGCAAGAGGTTTACTGAAATAAGAAATGGCATAAAAATAAAGTTGACTTTCAAAATTAGATGCAAAAGGATAGTGGATATGTATATAACTGTACTGAATGATCTTGAAGGCAATTATTTAGATTTTACTAGTTTTAGTGCTTGTTTATCTCATTAAAGTCAGTAGTAAGCCCGTGAGTTTCCTTGGGCTTTTCAACCAGATGTATGTGAGTGCGTGTGACAAGCATGTGAGTGAATGAATGAGAATTCCATCACTTTATATGAAGAGATTCAGTTATTTCATTGATGAAGTACAGTATTGCTGGATACTAAGTTTTAGTGTTTGAGTCAAATGGAATTTGATCATGTTTTAAAACACAACTGTAAAACTATAATCAGAAGAGAAAGTCAATACCAGTATTTTCTGTTACTGTTTCTACCAGAGATCCTACTAGGTCTTTAAAAAATATATTTTACATAGAATATAATCCAAAATAAAAATCCTTAGAGCTCCATAGCTGACCACATGGATCTGACAGGCCAATATTCCTGTCAAACTTGGTAAAGGAATTTGCACATTCATCATATCCTACTTTCACTTTCTCACTTCGGTGTTCTCTAAAAGTTGGGTGGTTAAGTTTATTCCATTGGGCTCCTAATATGCCACGAACAAAGCTAAAAAGTCATTTATTCCATTTATTTCTAGTAAAAAGTAATTAACAAAATTAAATAAAAACTATAAAACTTGGCTAAAACATAAAATTTTCTCTTTTTTTTTTGGTCTTTTACCAGTTTGAAAGGACTGATAATCTTAGAATTAGAAAAATGATACTCATCCATTTTAACTCACAGTAAAAAGTTATCACTGTACATAAAAAAGTTCAAGCTCCAAAAAGGCTAAAAGGTGTTTCCTATTATCATGTATATATAAATTCATTCTGTACACCAGACAGCAATAAGAAGAATTAATTTAAATAGGTTTTAGAGAGGTGATTTTTTTTTATTATCTAGAACTGGCAAATTTGCCTAGGAATACTGATATTTCATATTATCCATTAAAAGAAATATAATAAAATCTCTTTAAACAGACAGTAATTTTAATACCCAGTAAAAGCTGACTCACTGCAAAGAAAACAACAATCAAAAAATGCCATCACACAAAAATTTATGGGATCTATTGAACCACACAACTTTTACTCTTATGTCTGAAATATAACTAAAACTGGATTTAAGACCTTGTTAATTTAAAAAACTTACTTAAGACTGACTACCTTGGCTTTTCTTTCTCACACACTTTGGTGAATTTCAGCCTGGCATGGGGGAGAAGTATGCCGCTGGAGCCAGACAGACTCCTGCTGAGTTTCAAACCCCAGTTCCACCTCTTAGCAGGTAAACCTAGGTATGATTATTCATGCTTGTGAACACTACAGATTCTGCTCTACAAAAATAAGGTGAAAAGCATATTTAAAGGTTGTTAGTTAAGGAATTTAAAGTCCAATATAAAGTGTTGAGTACCAGGTGGGAATGGTTCTCTCCCTCTCCATTCATAATATGATGATAAACACTTTTGCTTCACTTTGTAAACCATGAGATAGAAAAAAACATTAAAACATGTCCTTTAAAAAAAGAACGAAAAAACGATTTCAGCATAGGTGCATTTGAACGAGCAGTACTTCTTCCCAGAGCCCAAGCTACTCAAATTTTATCCCTTGACTGCCTAAGAACTCAGATCATCAGCACCCAGATTATATACCTTCTTACAGTACTGATTCAGCTACTCTGAGGCTGTTTTTTCCATTTTGTTATTGTTGTTTTTACTTTCTCTTTCATTGGAAAGATAAATTAAAAAAAGAAAGAGAGAGACAGTAAATACAATCAAGCCAGTCAGATGTGCTGTGTACTGTGTAAATAACTCTAGCACTGTTTGATCCAGAAAGGGAAGAAATAGGAATGATAATATTGTCTAAAATTGGATTGCAGATTGTCTACAAAATTTAGTGACCCATGCTAGGACCATGAAGAGTATCTGTGACTACTGTCCAATGATTAGCCTAAATAGAATCCTGGTTAGTGACCTGAATAGGCCAGTGCTGACTCCAGAGGTGCCCGATGAGTTGTGGTTGAGATGCTAAAAGGACCAGGAGCAGGCACAGGGGGGTACGGTATGGGACGGCAGAGCAGACCTTCCCTTATCAGACATTTCTGTTCTGAAGATATGCCAGTACCTGTGTATAAGTCATGAAAATAATTTAGCTTTTGTTTATATTTCTATATACAAATTTTCCTTGAGAAGAACTTTTCTCTTGAGCTAAATTTCTGTCTTTCAGTTTTCTTGAGGTTATCTACATATACAGAAGCCATCTAAGAGTTTTAATACTTGAATACAATTCTTCTTACCTTTTTAAATTCTTACCTCTAAATCATTAAAAAATAGATGGGTATCAGCAAGATTAAAAATCATTTCCTCCATTCGGAGTCCAAGAGTTACAGCCATGGGGGGATCCTGAAAAGAAAATACACACACAATGAAGTAAAATTTTAGTAACCACAATTATTATTAAGATATTTTAAATGTATATTGTTGTGGGCAGTGGGGATGGGGAGACTGTATAGATTTTTACCTAAGATTCATAAGACTTTCCAATGATCTGAAAAGGTGCCTTTCCAGAAGGTTATCTAAGACATACTAAATATACAGTTACATCTGTGAATTTACAGGGCTTTACATACATATAACGACGAGTTAGAGCACATTTTCACATTTCTCACATGTTCATGAAAGAAGGAAACAGAAAGCAAGCTATTCAAGGACCCAGTTTACTATATACTCCACAGAAAGTCCTTTGGAGAAAGGTATTCGGATGGTGTACAAAAGAATGGACTTGTTAAAAAGAGGAAAGGATATCCTTTTAAGAATGATGGCAAATAATAAGTAGGAAAGGGAGCAAGGCAGGTCTATCGGTTGTTTGTAGGACTTGAGCAGACAATGGTGTCTGGAGGTTGGGGTGGGAAAAGCTGGTGGAGTAAGGTGAAACCACCATCTAATCATTAATTGCATTTTGATCAACAAGCAGTATTTATCTGAGTGTGTGTATAGTTGGGTCTAACCTGCATTTGATAAGAGATTAAGAGGGAAGGATCAAGGATAGCTAAAGGAATATTTATTCAATATATATAATCTAAGTAGAAAATACATTTAAAAGTTTCATAAAAATAAGGGGATCAGTAAGGAATCAAAGTGACTTAATTTTTGTTTACAGAAATCAAGATATTAGACAGCAGCAAGGTGTTGAGAACCGAGACCAGAGTTGGTACTTTACTATGATTAACTACAGTTGAAAGCCTAGGATCAAGAAATGTAAGACTAAAGACATTAAAAAAGGAGAGTTTAGAGATAGGGCTAATTCATGCACAAGCATTGCATTTAAAAGGTCAGAGTTGGAATGGGCTCTATAGAAATGCTCCAGGTGGGATTTTGAGATGCAAAAAACAGAAAACCTGGAAGGGACAAATCCTCAGAATTTGAGACCAGAATGGGTATTCGCAGGAAGAAGAATATGGTTTTGAATAAAGCTGACAAGTCTAGAAGGATACTGTTGGTTTTGGCTGAGATGTTATTATGGAAGACTTGTGAGGGTGATTTGGTTTGAGTGGCTGCGCCAGGAGCCAGATTGTAGGGTTTGAGGATAGAGAATCAAACTTGTATTTTCAGTGTCCTACTAAACGGCAATTTATGATAAGAATATGCAACCCCATAGGCCAAGCCATACTCACATACACTCCCGAACTCACTCCACTTGGCAAGCAGAAGCCCTTTCTCATTCTACACCTGCACTGCAACCAATTTTCTTCCTATACTTCCTTCCATAATGCCGTGAGGGGGATTCCCTAGAGTGTGAACATATCTGAAGTGTCAGCCTCATATTCTGTAGTGATTAAACCCAGAGAATAAGGGATTGAGGTTAGGAAAGAAAGAGGCCACCATGGTGTTGTTGAGCAAAGCTAACACTTTAAGAAGAGATGAAGATAGGACAATAAAAATATGTTGGATGTCAACATAATTTTCTAATTGTTTCCATCTCTTCCTTAGAATTTCTCTGGCTTTCACAGGTAGAGATTTCTCTCATCTCAAAACCAGATGTTCATTGTTCAGATACTATGTCATCTCAGTATTGTGTCTTCTAGTCAGTCTAACTATACTACTAAATTCAACTGTCTTCAGTGACATGATCATTTAGTGCAACACACCCAAAGATCAAATAAATTCCATTTTATCCAACAAATATTCATTCAAGAACAAGAACAAAAATATTGTGTCCTTTTTGCGTCTCAAGGAGTTTTGGAACTCAGAGTGAGCTGCTTGCTCCATTTCCTTCGAATGTAAAATTCTTTTTTCTTATTTCTTTTTGTTGTTCATGTTTTTATTTGTGTTGTTGAAAGAAAATCTCAGAAGATCAATGACAACTTTTTAAAGTATACATTTGTCTTTTTTTTTTCTGTTAAAAATTCCTATTTGTCATCTGTCTTTCTTTTGGGAAGTGGGGGTTGAATGCACTGAGGATTTAGAAAACTTGTAAATGTTCTGTCTAGTCATGGGACCATGAAAAAAACCTCTACAGAAATATCAGGAAAAATCAAATGTAATTATAGCATGAAAACACGTAATTCCATTAGTGACGCTCTATGCTTTTGAGGAATGTTCACTGATGCAAGACAATAAAACTGAGCACCACACTACTCCATTATGTTTCTGATGATTACTGCCCTCGAGACATATATTTCAGATGGGGGTTCAGAAAAGCCTTATTTTAAAGATTTTTCTTCTTGAGACTAAGTTGGTTAAATTCTTATTATATAATTTGCCAATTTTCCTTTTTTAAGTTTTAAATACAACTATTGACTTTTTTAATATTCATACTTCACATTCTTTGCATTTACAGATCAGATTTATGGGGATGGGAGAAAACAGACTGTTCCTCTTTGATAGTAACTTTCATCGATTCCATGGTTCTGAGGTACACGACTCTATGCTAGCCAAACAGTGATGGGAAAATCCATGAAGAATGCATTTTGTGCATCTGATAAGCATGCAAACAAATATCATTTTAAAAAAACTGACAAGAATTCTCTGACGAGGAAGCACAGAATGTGGCATGATGAAAACTGCATTTGAGTACACTTTCGGAATGCAACCTCATGGCACTGGAATGGGCTGCTCATTCGTTTTTCAGGCTGTGGTGATTCCACAGCACACCCACTAGAGCCAGGACTTCGTAAGCATTCTGGCAAGATATCATTTGTTAACTGGGAAAGTTGAGGTTTAAGATTTGATGGAGTGTGAACCAGCTGTATTTTACTAAGGTTTCCAGAGCACAAGGCCTGTTGAAAGGAGGGTGTTTTGTCAGCCATGCCAAAGGCTTGGCACAGATGGGCTAGGGACAGTCATGCCACAAGCCAAGGAAAACCATGCCTGTAAGAGGTGGTGATCTTATTTCTAAAAGAATGTCTAATGAGGGTTTACTTTCAAATATGTAATTTACTTTTTTTTTTTCCAAGCTTACTAAGTCACTGGGACAGCTCATTCTAAGTAAACAGACTATGGTACCACGTTTTTTCCAGTTACAGGGCCCACGGATATCAGAATCCAAGAAGGATGACCAGGAATTTGGTGGAGGGAGCCTTAGCAAGGTCTCTGTTATGTTGGGCACCCTTTGCCTTTCCAGACTACCATGTAGGAGATGCCAGAGTCCATGATTCCATGGTTTTATCAGGCATTTGAGAGTTAAACATACTTCTGGACTGAACCCAAGTTTTATACAGAGATGTTTGCTCATTTTCATTTGATGTTTGTAGAATTATGGGCACCTTATGAATCAAGAGTTCTGCCTTTTTTCAGTTTAACTATAGTGAGTGTTGAGTTTGAGGGTCTGAAATGAAGTGATAGTGAAAACTTGGATAGAGGGGGTAACTGGGATAATAAAGGAACAAACAGGGCTTGGTGGAAGCTGATACACATTATACACATATAACAGTTCCAATAGGTTCAAAGCGTTTACAGCAGAGTTTAATATGGGGCAAACTGAACTTCTGCCAATTTACTCTGTGTACGGCTCTATTAAAATACTGAAACTCCCAAGACATTGTGTTTAAGAGAGACAGAGACACAAAGACACACAGACACAGAGAGGAGGAGGAGGAAGATGAAGAAAATGAATCACTCTTGGCTCTTACATGTGTGATTCTAAGCGGGATGTTGCCAGTATGTAAGCATGTCAGGATCAAGTACAGCACTTCTGTATATCAAAAAGCTAACGCCTATTAGCCGTGTTAGCAAAGAGCATAAATTGGAGCCAGACTGTCTGTCTATGGGCCTCTGCCCTGCACTGGGCCATCAGCTGAAATTCCTCCTCTAGGGACACAGTGTAAAAATATCCCAGGAGAGGCAGCAATTATGTATCTTTAAAGAAATGGAGCTTTTTTTTTTTTTTACTGTCTATGGGCCTCTGCCCTGCACTGGGCCATCAGCTGAAATTCCTCCTCTAGGGACACAGTGTAAAAATATCCCAGGAGAGGCAGCAATTATGTATCTTTAAAGAAATGGAGCTTTTTTTTTTTTTTTTAAGAACTCAAGCTCTTGGAAGAGTTACTCCTTTGGGACCTGAAGCACTTTTATTGACTTGTGCACACAGAGACAGAAGATATGCAAGTTCATTACAGAAGAAGGAAGACAAACAAGCTCTATGAACTGAGGTAGAAATAGCTAGTGGGTTGGTTAGGATATGTGAACTTGTTTAATCATTGACAAGAGATGAAATGAAATTTGGTCATGAATCAGAAGGGAAATTTTGAAATTGAGATATTTGTATATAATGGATAGGCAGTGAGTTTCTCAGGGGAACTGGAGAATGGTTTCAGGAACATTAATTTATTTGGCAATATTTATTGAGTGTCTACTATGTGCAGACAAATTCAAGTTCTAGGTAGAGAGCAGAGAATCAAGCAAAGACCCTGCCCATATAAGGTTTATATTATTACTATATGAGTTATCTGATAAACAAATGGGCAAAAAAACAAGTAAATATATTGTATTTCAGGTAGTGAAAAAGTCAGCCAGCCCATATAGAAGGCTATGAGGACAGCTGGTGACGGCTCATGTGAAGGAAGTGCAGGGAAGGCTTTTCTCAGGTGATGACTGAGGATAAGGCATCTGCAAGGCAAGGGAACCTGTCACACACAGAATAGTGGGAGGGAACGTACACAGAGGTGAGAATGAGTCCATTGTGTGAAGAACAGTATAAGGCAGTGACCCAGGTTAGGGAGGTGAAGTGGAGCAAGTATTTTAGCAAAGAGAGTCAAATGGAACAGGGTCTATTAAGGAGAGAGGCCGCAGCAAGATAAACCATGACTTTGGCAAGAAGGTTATTCCTCAGCCTTGCTGAGAGTTGCTCACTGGCAAGCTAGGGAACAGTCAAGAAAAGGGGCAGCAACTGGAAAGTGGTCCCA